CCATGTAGTATCTATATATGTAATATCAAAGCATTTGCACTTGCGGTTTTTAACAAGAAGTCAAAAATATCACTTTTTACCAAAAATGACAAAAATATTCACCAAAATTAGAGAATTGAAGATATCATCACGAAATGAACAAATCTGAGAGAGGTCCACATGTAGTACCTATATATGTAGTATCAAAGCAATTGGACTTGCGGTTTTTAACAAGAAGTCGAAAATATCACTTTTTACCAAAAATGACAAAAATATTCACCAAAATTAGAGAATTACAGATATCATTACAAAATGAACAAATCTGAGAGAGGTCCACATGTAGTACCTATATATGTAATATCAAAGCATTTGCACTTGCGGTTTTTAACAAGAAGTCGAAAATATCACTTTTTACCAAAAATGACAAAAATATTCACCAAAATTAGAGAATTGAAGATATCAACATGAAATGAACAAACCTAAGAGAGGTCTACCCAAGGTACATATACACCAAGTATCAAAGCATTCAGGCTTGTAGTTTTCAAGAAGAAGTCGAAAAAGTAAAACATTGACACGGACGACGACGGACAATCACTCATATGATAAGCTCCGCTCGACAAAGTCGACAGCGGAGCTAATAAAGTATACTTCAAAAGAATATCCAAAAGTTGAAGCAGAGTAATAAAGTATGTTTCAAAAAAATATCCTAAGGTTATAGTAGAGTAATAAAGTATAAATGACAAATACATGATATACCTTTTCCTGCAGTATCTTTGTCTGTGTGTAGTAATCTATCGGCTTCTTCGCATATGGCAAGTCTTCATTTCCATTCTGGATGTCTGTACCTTCATACACAACACTAGCACTGCTTGTCAATACCAATTTCTACAATCAACAAATTAAACAAGTTCTAGTGTCAACATTATGCCAATATATCAACTGATCAGTTTGGTACATGTCGATAAGACTGATTGCTTCACTGCAGGGCCTGAATCCTGACTTTTCAAAATTAGCAGGGGTTAAAATTAAAAATTTAAGTTGCCTGTCCATTGCTCAGGTTAGAGAATAAAAGTGCCTGTCCCAATAAATGATGTAGCAGTCTATATGGCAAGATAAATTAAGACACATTGTTTGAAAAAAAAAAATTTATTCTTGGTTTATCATTATTTCATAGCTGTATTATTGGGTATATTTTGTTTGTAGAATTTGATGTACAAAGTTATACATGCTGTGCACCAATTACAGTATTCACAAAATACCAGGGACAGAAACTGTGTTAGCATTTATATAGATTTGACATTTGGCAAAAAATTTTCAGCAGCTTAAGGCATCCACCAGTTCATCAAAACAAAACAAAACTGATTTTAAATTATATGGTGCCTACCGTACTTAATTAATACAAATTTGATAAGAAGTGGATGGATTTGTTTAATGAACACCCACTTCATGTTGTCCTGTCTTTTTCTTTCAAAATTTATACGTGCATGTATATATGAAATTTCCTTGCATTTGTTGCCACTGTGCTCAAGTGAACATAAAACATTTCATACTTCATAGGCTGGTTGTGTTTAGAGTGTTACAAAGCAGGGTACGCAATGCATGTCAGGATTTTAGGTATTGCAGATAAAATCAAAGAAAGCTTAGAAAGAACTTCCGTGTGCTGAGAGTATTGGAGACACATTAAATATAATTTGAAATTACTTAGCTGAAAACTAAATATGC